TATAGTATAGTATAGTATAGTATAGTATAGTATAGTATAGTATAGTATAGTATAGTATGGTATAGTATAGTATAGTAGAGTAGAGTATAGTACAGTATAGTACAGTATAGTACAGTATATGCATTAACTGCATGTCTATAAAAGACTGTGTGCTTTTGTATTTATCAACTTACACAATGCTTGATAAAGCTGATAATCTGCATCTGCCAGAAAATTTCAACTACAAACTAACATGTAATCATATAAAATTAGTTTTGCAAACCAGAACTGATTATACATGGATTAATGTGGATATCTTGTTTCCCTCTGTCTGCGTGAGGGGGGTGTCCAACAGTTCTGATAGAACAAGGTTGTCAACCTATGAGAACTGTGTTAGACTAGTCAGGTTTTGGCTTTAATTGCACATTGTCAAGAAAGATAAACCTCTGTTTGCATTCAGCTGTCATCTCTGCTTACTACTCAGTGGAAGCATGACAGGCAGAAAAAAATGGGAACAATTTCCAGGTCTCAACCAAACACCTGTAAGACCTTGTTAAAATCTGGCTGGGTGGATTTCTACAGTACGTATAAAATACAGATTTACAATCTAAAGTTCAGTCAGTTCTTTTAATGTGGATATATTTATTCAGCTGTGACAGAGTTCAGTATGAAAAGAAGTCGACCTTTTGAGTTTCTGTGGCAGCATAAAAAGAAAAAAAAAATATTCTGATAGTTCGGAAGAAATTATTCAAGCTGGAGACCACAGATCAGATGATCAGATGACTTGATTAAATATTTTTTCAACGTATTTTCTTAATAAAGGTACAACTTGAACTGTTTTATAGCCTTCCAACTCTTATTCACAATCAAATGTAAACAGGACCAATGTATAATTACTGAATGGATGAATACAACATTTATATTGATTGTACTGATTGCATTTGCTTACTATTAAAACATTTGAACGTCATCGTAGATTGTGTTACATCATTGAGAAGAAGGTCCTGGACATCGATTTATCTCATAATGGATCATTTGTCCAAAGATGTACTATGTGATACTTAGAATAGATTATAAAAACTACTTTAACAAGCAAAACATGATTTTGTAGAAAACTGTTAGATATGCGCTAAAACAACCAAAAAAGCAGTCTGGCATTCCTTTACAAAGTACATTTTTTGTGACTTTATTAGTCAGCTTTGAGGGGTTCTAGTCCTAAGCCTTCTCTATTAACATAAAGGGGTCAAAAAAGAGAAAGTCAACAGAGAAATTTGTCATTATTTTTATCTTAAAGGGCCATTACTTAAGTACAGCCTCAAGTTGATCCACTGAACAGAAACACAACATAGTAATCAATGGATATTCTCTGGAAACCTTTCTTTTGTACACACATGTGAACCCTAACATGTAAAATGCACACCTTAATGCTGAGAGGTTTTCCAGGAAGCTTCTGTTTCTGACAAACCAGAGCAGACATCCTTTTCTTTTCTCCCTCTCCCCAGGAGACTGAGATCAGCACCAGAAGGAAGGAGTGTGAAGCACTTGAGGCAGAGGTGAAGAAAAAAAATCAAACATGTCAGACTTTGGTAAGTGCTCCAAAAATAATCCTTGGCCTCTGAACAAAAGGATAGAAGCTCAAATTGATTTGTACCTGAGAGCCTCGCCCTTCATCATCGCACACAAATATCCCTGGAGATAACGAGTGGCAGTCTTAGCTTGGCTCCCAGACAATAATAAAAATTAAAAATATCAGGGCAGGAAACTACATTTATGAATGGGAGATGGACTTGTTGTAGTATTTAGTTGTTGAGTGAGATTTTGCAGGAGGAGAGAGGAGCCCTGCATTCTGCCTCTGACTATCCGCGGCTACAGAGCAATATGTGTGTAAAACTTCAAAGATTGGCTACACATCCCTTACATTTTCCCTTGCTGTTTCTTGAAGGGAGTTTTCTCACAGTGCCCCAAAAATGTCTGTCTGGTAGCTGGAGCCGCCATTTCTCAGGACTCAAGGTAAAAAGAGTGTAAAAAAGTTAAAGAGGGGAACCCTTTGATGAAAAAAACACAATCATGTGTCGTTTTGACACTTCAGCTGTTTATTATTTGAAAAAAGGCTGTTATATAGATGTAATGTTAGTCATCTTTGTAGATAACGTATATCACTGTGGCTTTGTGGCTATTGAAGGTGTGCAGGCTTTGCCCCAAAGGATCAATGACACAGTATTGAGCACATAGAAGAGTAAATGTGACGAGACGCTGGATAGGGATTGTATCCAAATTAAGCTAATGTAAATTCCAAGAATTCTGAGGGAATCTGCTCTGGATTTTATATATCTTAGGTTTGGTGAACATACTGTGGCTTGAAGGTTTTTTACCATTAGCATATAGACTCTTTATATTAGAATTGACAGGGCTCTGTTCACTTGTAGTCTCAGAGAGAGAAAGATACTTTATTAAAAGTTTTACCTTAAACCTCCGCTTGTTTCAAGTAGAAACAAAGTAATGTAGAAAACTGCCCTTGGTGAGGTTCTGCTTTTGAGAGGTAAGAGCTGGAGGCAGTCAACAGAAATTTAAATGGGACTGTTTGGTCCTAGACCATTTGAATTCATTTTCTCCTGCCCCCTAGTCCTTGTCTTTTGATGAGCTGTCTTTGTGTGTGACTCTGTGCCCCAAATAAACACTCCATTAGGAATGTTTTCTTTGCTGACCTCTCCTCACGTTCCCTGCCCATGGCAACGTTTCCCTCTCGCCCATTGTCAGCATGCTGAGTCCAGGGTAAGCCACCCAAAGGACAAACTGTCCCCACATGGTGAGCAGGAGTGACAGGCTGGTCTCCACAGACTGCAGCATAGCTCGTATCTCCCTCCGCACCAAGGCCCGGGAACAGGGAGACAAACGCAGACAAGTCTGAGGAACAACATGGTGAAGGGATGGCAAGTTGACAGTAATGTCACTCCCTGTTTGGTCTAAGCTGACTTACTTCTCACATTGTCTCTTTGTTTCTCCATCTCAGTCCTCTCTGTCTCAGGTAAATTGAAATTCAAAGAAAACAATTAGAAGAAGAAAATCATGTTCGGCTGTTTTTGCCTCTCCACCTGCTTCGGTGGTGAAGTCTTAGCAGCGTTTAACTCACACTGAGTGCCCTTTTTCAAAATGCAAAAAGTCTCTTAATTCGTCATCGTGAAGAGTTCGGCCGTGGTGTGTGTGAACACACACAATGTGACAGCAAACACTGTCTTAACCATCTGGCACCTCCACCTTCCTGGATATCAGATGTTTGGCTACAGACTGTCAGCCTCCTCTTGCATTTAGAGGCTGTTACCATGGCCACAAGCATTTGCTTTACCAGCAGCGCAGAAATATATATCAGTGCTGAATGCAAATCAATACGGAGGCAGATAGCATGCAGGCTCAACAAGTCCGAGACCCGGTCTGTGTATCTGTGTTGTATTTCAGCATCTGGCGTGAGATGCCAGCTCAGCTTTCATAGAGACACAAACACCTGTCAAAGGTGTGACGGGCCTATGTCGTTGGTTTGCCTGATAGCTTTCACTGAATGTGCAAAAGCAAAATTATCAGATTTTCATTTCAAATTTCTTATGTTTGCCTGTTTTTGTCCAAGAGAAGCCAAATTGAGGCTGATGGCTGTAGTTTGTCCTCAAATCCTGAAGTATGCAACACTGAGGAAGATTTCTGTTTTGTGGCGTTAATGTGGGGTGGTAAACCAATAGTAAAAAAATAGGAATATGTATTGAGGAAATCTCAGACTTAAGCATTTAATATTTGCCACTTTATTGCCTTTTGGATTACCTCTTTTTCCTCTGAATGCCTAGATAGAATTAAATGTATTAACACAATTATGTAACCAGCATTACCCCTTAATCGTATATCAGCATTTAAATATTGGAACGCCATCAGTGTGACAAGAAACCAATTGGCTGGAAGAAGTATAAGTTTATCCCTTTGACGCAAATGATTTTATTGAAGTAAAAAAAAAAGAAAAGGAAAACACGCACACACACACAAGAACCCAGCAGCTGACTGTCATCTGAACTGTGAGCAAATTATGCTCTCACCCATACTAAACAGAGCCCACTGAACAGAGAGTAAGTGGGTGAAATATTTGCATTGCCTATGAGTTAAATGGCAGGGTTGATTCATCCGTCAGGCCCGTCAGATTTAAACATGCTGCTGTGTCAGACCGTGTTGAGTCATACAGTGTCTGGACAAAATGCTCATTTGGAGTAGGTGTAGTCAGGATCTGAAGTGGCGCTCCATCTCTGTAAGCCTCATTATATTTTTTGATGGTCTAATCTTAATCAAACTGGCCTGACTCTCACATCAAGAGGAAATAGAATTAATTCAAGACTGACAGGTGCTCTATTCTAGTCACTTATAGCCATATGATATTTTTACGGATAAGCGGTGGAAAATGGATGGATGGACATATCTTTTTTTATTTATTCTTTGTGTATATTACTGAGAAGAAGTAAAGCATATTTTGTCTCAGAAGGATGTTACAAGTTTTGAGCTGAATAATGCTCGAGGTAATTCATCTTGTAGGCCATAGTGTTTTTTGCATGGAATTCAATCCACCACCGGGCTCACAGACTCATTCTCCATAAAAATGTGTCTTGTCAAGGGATTATGACTTACACTGATCTGTTTACAGCGTTAACATATCAACAATACATGACAAAGACACAGCTCATTCAAGATGTGCAACACAATTTGGTCTGCATCATTATGCAAACATGCAGACACATCCAACATCCTGATGCTAAATGTGGATAGCAGTTGCGTACAAATAGTTGCTCTGAAATTTCATTCTGAGCTATTTCTTTACGTTTCAGCAGTCCTTCAGAACCAACACCTGGAAGCAGATTCAGCGTTTATTAGCTCCAAATTGAGGGACCTGTGAATAAGAATAGGAATGCCAATGCAAATACAGCACTTGTATGGGAAGCGTGGATATTGACCGGGTACAATTGATGCAGGTCTAAACCAAATAAACAGAAAAGCAGCTGATCTGAGATGTGACTTTGTCATTGTCTTCAGGCTGCTGTTTACTTGGCACTGCTTGTCCTTGACAGAATTTCTCATTCAGACTTTCAATCTGTGTTCTTTGTTCATGCAGGTCAAAAACACAGAACAAATCACTATCTTCTGTGCTAGTTGTGGTTTTAACAGGAGCTGGAAGCTGTGGCTCGTTATTATTATGTAATATGCAACATTAATAATATAATACATATACTTTATATGGTCATTATAGTGGTTATTTTAGGTCAGCCAGATAGGCCATGCAGACTTTAAAATGTTTTATGGACAGGACTTACAAAGCACTTCAGTAAAGGGCATAACTTGATGTTTTCCACTCTGAATGCTTTTTTCATGTTTACTTTTATCGTTAGGTCTCTGAAACATCCCTCATACATAAAACATGAGGGATAAGGAACAGGCTCATGACCACAAGCCATTAAGACGAACCATTTTACTGTAAATGTATCATGCCTGAGCCAGTAGGGTTTCTGAGATCCTGACAAGGACAGCTCCTGCCTACTCGCTGCAGTAAATTGCACGTCTCAGAAAGCCCAACAGTCAACAGTGCAAATTGCTTCTACAGCACGCCTCAAAAACTGTTGATTGAATGTAATTAAGCTTTCTTCCTGTGCAATGTAGGTTTTTTTTCTCTTTAGCTCTGCACTCGATACACATGGTTGGAGTCGGTGTTGTGTGCACGAGTGCCATGTCAATACATTCGAGTTACATCCGTAAACACACACGCTGCTGCAAAGAATGACTGTTTTAAGGGTTTTTGCGGCACCTATTCTTGTCTATTTAAGTTACCAAGATAAAAGCCACCATTATGCCATTGTTGTTGTGAATGGAAACGCTGCTCCTTTTAATCACAGTTTCTGGAGCACATTTGTGGAACCTCCAACAATGTCCTCAGATGAAATATGCATTGGTCGGTGCCTGCAATACGTTGGGTTTGAGGGTAGTGCTCTCGTCTCTCCGTGGAGACTCTTTGGGGTCTGAACACTATTTCTTTCTTCCTTTTGCCTAGGAGAATGAGCTTCAAGACTTCCTCGAGGAGAGCAAACACTTGAATCTGCAGTGGTTCAACAACAGACCCAAGGCATCTGAGTATGAAAAGGTAGGAGGTGAAAAATGTTTATGTGTTCATTTAGTGTTTTGGTGAACTTGAAAACCGATCCACAGAGCTGTTAAGTTAGCAGTCAGCTCACAGTATTGTGTCTTGACCACACCTTCTCTGTTTCACGTTAATGCAGTGTGAAAACTCTATGGGTCACACTTTAACCCAACCATGGCCATAACTGAAAGAAGAAAGCCATCCTCCAATTCTATTAAGTCCCCCTCACCTTAACGGACCCAAGACCTCAAAAGCCCTCTGTGCTGATAGCATCAAGTCGACATAGATCAACACGCCGTCTCGTAGCCTCTGTATGAACTGAAAGGCAATATCCTGAGGCATCCGACTGGCTATTATTTGTTTCTGAGGTTGAAAAAGGTGGCAGGGTGATGTTTTATCAGGACAAAGATGACTCCGGGACCGACTAACTTTATTTGCTCTCAGACTGACTGACAAGAAAGCAGCACTAGGAGGGGCCAGAAAAGGGCACCACCCCATACCCATAATAGACTGTTGACCTGCTTCTGCTGAATCCAATGTCGTTTTATTCTATCTGTCAGCATTAGTTTTGACAGTCGCCCCTGTCGTGCGGACAGTTTTTCCTGTGCAGAGACGGGGCACTCAGACGCAGACTCACTTGTCTCTGTTTGTGTTATGCTTTGGTGGTCTTTGTAGAATTGCCCTCCTTGAGGAATCATTAGTGATTCATGGCTGCACTGAAGAAGGGGCTTTGGGCTGGAGGAAGTAGTCGGCTCACTTGCAATTAAGGGCCTTGAAAAGCGCTGACTGAAACTAATGGCTTTTTTGGTAGACAATTATGAAGAATACGCTAAATTGTCATATTTCTCATATCCATCAGATCAGAGAACATATTAATGTTTTAGCATTTACAGAGTGAATGAATTATATTACTCTTGCATTAGATAGCTAATGATAACATGTTTCATTATCAAATCCAACCAGCTCTCGTGTGTGGCTTGTAACAATTCATCCTTGCGCCTGCTTATTATTTCATGTTCCTTAAAAATTTAAACAGCTGAACAATTGAGTCCAGCTGCTTCTCATTATCCGTATACTACATTTTCTTCAGCACCTTGCAATGGAAACACATTTTCTATTCTGTTGGATATTGTCTTGATCGGTACATGACATTTCCAGCAGCAACAGTTCGTTTCTGTGAGTCTCTGGGATGTTCCAAAAACACCAGGCTGGCTGTGTAGAAATGTGGAGCATTAAAATGTGCACAATATGAATTAATTCATGCCTTTTTTTACACATGCCCATCCCTGTCCTCAGCTGAATTTCTCATAACTGAGGAAATCGGTGGGTTTTGGTTCTCTGAATGTGTAGACAGCAGGAGAGGCTGGATGATCCTGGAAATGTGGAAGTGTGACAGAACAAAGGCAGAATCTGTCAAACCCCCTGTTCTTTTGCTCTTTGCACTCCCCATCTCCACAGGTGAAGTCAGAGTATGCCCAGCTCAAAGAGACACTTGGTGCTGTGACGCAGGAGAGAGATTTAGCCCTGTGGGAGAGGAACCAGCTCCAAGGCAAACTGGAGAACCTAGAGCAGGTGCTCAAGGTGAGGAGACTGGCCCTAAGAGCTGCCTCTATCCGTCATTTCTAGTCCTATACTCGTATCTATCCTGGGATTCCAGTACAGGTGTTTTATGGAGGCTAACCCCCTACCTTCTCTCCTTCCTACAATGCCTCCATCTCTTTCTGCTCCGCGATACTGTCTAATGTCCTCGACATGTCTGTTGCCTTCTAGTGTCGTGTTGGGAGGTCTGACCTGGAGCTGTGAAAGAGCACAATCTTGGAGCAGTCTGCCTCTTTCCTTTCCTTTTTCACCCTTTAATGTTGCCCTACCTCACGGATGTCTTGCTTCTTTGCTTCCCTCCGTAACCTCTCCCCACTGCTAAATTTCGAAGGTATCACAGCTATGTCCATCTGTTGGGGAGCAGCCCGATTTCCTCCCATTCTGAATGTTTTCTCTCCACGTCAGTGGCTGTGCTTATCTCTCCCTTTTTCTATGGGCTGCTTACCAGACATTCAAATGGTCACGTGGCTCTAAGGCCACAGCACTGTGGAATGTGATTCATGCATGAGGCAGGATAAAGAGTTTGGCTTCACAATGATAGGAGGGGGGGAGGCATAGCAACAAAATAGTCTGGGTCACTCTCCACGATGTTAATGTCACCCACAAGTTTGATGACATTATCTATCTCAGGCATGCTTCTTACACCCTACAGCTTCTCAAATACGCACACATAGTGGGAGCGGTGATGTGACTGGATGCCACAGGCACACTGTTCCATGAGGAGCCCAGCATTCAGTCCTTTGTATTGTCCAGCTTCTCTGTTATGGATGGCCACAGACAACAGAGCACGCTACGAGTTTGTTCATCTTTTTCATGTAACATAAAACCAAATACTGATGTTGCAAAAACAACTATATGGAGGACAGCTTTTGTAAGAGTCCTTTGAGCCAGATTTCCAGCAGAATTTGTGTTACCTGAAGGGGGCGGCAAACCTGGTCTTCTAGCAAAGTTTCTTTGTGTTTACACAGCAAAGCATCTCTAGTCCTCATTCAAAAACAACTCAAATTTACTGTTTCCTGGTGATCATTTGACATAAATATGATCTCACGTTTGCTGGGGCATACTTTATGTTATTCTTGTTTTTTGTAAGGTTTAAACATCAATACACTGTTAACCAAACTTTGTATTGTGATGTATGTACTTGCTAACACCTGTGGCGTGTCCTAATGTGGAGTCGAAGACTGGAGATGCATTTTGTGTTGGTTCGGGTGCCACTGGAATGTAGTTCCACTAACAGCTTCCCTCTCTATGCCCCCTTCCCCTTCGATTTTTCCCTCTGGCCTTCCACCCCTTGTCACTCTGCGGACAGCATATGCGCGAGGCTGCGGAGCGAAGGCAGCAGCTAGAGTTGGAGCATGAGCAGGCCTTGGCTGTACTCAATGCAAAGCAGCAGGAGATTGACCTTCTTCAGAAGGTAAGAGGAGCCAGGTTCTGTAACACTCACCACACCGGAGTGCCGGGCTTTTCTGTGTGGCCTGGCTTTTGCACGTGGCATGGGTCAAAGATCATGTTGGCAAAATCCAGCGCGATGCATACTGGACGACACGGGCCAAACATATCAGAGAGACTCCATTGTGCGTCTACATACAATGTATCTTTGTCCGTACACTGCATACATTGCACCGTTCAAGCTCCCTTGTGAAGCCTCTTTACCTCATCTTTCAGATGTCTTTCACACACCAAACCATTAGTGTTCAACATTTACCGGCAAGCAAACCAGACACGCATAACACAAAGCAGATATGACAGAAATAAAAATAGAAAAAAGCCCACCCCGGCTATTTGATGGCAGGGCTTTCTCCTCTGTGCACTGAAGCTTACTGTAATGTCAAAGCAAACCCAGCAATAGCTGAGATTGCTGATGTTGTGAATGTGATAAGAAGTGTCACCAGCGCCGTCTCCAGAAACACTGTTTGTCGCCCATTGTTGCTGCTGCTACAGTCTTCTAACTTCACAGTCAGCCCCTTTGCAGGCAGTAGCTCTCAGCTTTTTTCTCTCATTAACAGAAGCTCATTACTGCTTTATCTTCCTTAAGACACCAGATGCTCTCTCTGTTCTCCTAAACCGAGTGCCTGCAAAGTAGATTTATGAAATTGTAAAGTCTGCACACACACTCATATCCATGTGGAGTACTTGGTCTTCATCACAAGAGTTTTATGGTCCCATTAGAAAAAGAATGCCATGCTTTTTGACAGTCCCAGTCATTTAGATTTTGTAACCCCCATTCCTCTTGTAAATCACCTCAGAAGGTTCCCATGATTTCTTGTGGAAACATGATGTTAAATAAGATTAAAATATTGTTTGTCTCAAGATACCCACATATTCACAGTACAATTAGTTGTTATCAAATGTAACAAAAGAGACAGAAAAAACAGAAACAGTTTTTATCAGGCCAAAATTATCCAAGGTCAAAAGTATTTTATGAACTGGAGCTGAACTCTGATCAAATGTGAAAACTGTTTATTACAAAAAAAAATTGTTTTTCTGCTGTAAGCTTGTCGGGCGTTCACTACTGAACATTCTTGAATTGAATCTATCAAATGTGAACACAGGATCACTCTCAGCCTTGTTGCTGGTTTTCAGCAAAAAAATTATACAGTTTCTTTCAATAGGGACTCTGTTTTCGAAAAACAAATGTGGCTTTGAACATGCTCCCTTTGCATGCTTATAACTGTTTCATATGAAATGAAAGGTTTCAAACACATCCGAATGTAAAAGGTGAAAATGGATGAAGAGACAGTTTTTTAACCTGAGAATTTCTGCTGAAATCACCGTACTGTTGGTAAATATTTAATGTAAAAAGTACTGATAAATAAGTTTAAGCCTTCAGTCCATTAGCATGGCAGAGTTACCCATCTCTTTTCAACCATTTTCACCCTGAACTGTCATGACTTGATAATTATCTAGTTTTTTTTTTTTGTGAAGATCTTTTGTTGGTGTTTGAAGATGACACTGAAGATCATTACCAATTGTTATGTGAGTGAACTGCACCCTGTGTTTCCCAGGCTCAGGTTGAGGCTAAAAAGGAACATGAAGGCGCTGTCCATCTGTTAGAGGTGAGCGTCTGGACACTGGGCTGGGGTGGGCGGAGGTGTGTGTCTTTTGTGTTGTTGCTGCACAGGGACTTATCAGCCGTGCAGTCCAAGCGTGCGTCCTCAGAGCCATGTGCTGCTCTCAATCCTCTCTGTGAAATCTGAATATTTGTTCAGTATTCCTCTCATAAAACCTGATTCCCTGCCTTGACCGTATTGTTAAACTGACTTTTGAAATGCACATTTAAACCTGAGAGTTATTTAAATAGCCTTTTTTTATTTAATGTCATTAACCCTGAAAAAAAATCTCAATCTTTTCCCTTTGTGTCAGATTTTACTACTTTTTGTTAGTATTGTAATGAGATTAAATATATGCGTGGCCACCAGAATAATTAAAGAGTGTGGTGCTTTTAAGATTTGTATAGGTCAACACGTGTGTAATTGTGCTATTTCTTTCCTACATCTCTTTTTATTGTATGAGTGTGTGTTTATGCTTATACAGAACCACTTGGACAGCATGCAGGTATTTCAGAATTGCTTATTTTTGTTTTCCTAAATTATTTATTATCTTGTTTACACGTTTGCCATTTTGGGCAACAGTACCACTACATCTAGTTTGTCTCAGACGATATGTATCATCACACTCCGAAGATAACTTTGCACTGTAGGTTTAGGGATATTTTTATTGGCAGCAGGCATGGTAGTTATATATCAGGCTAAGTGGTGATAAATAAGTAACGTGAAGTGTAAACTTAAAAATATGTCTGAGCTTCTTCAGACTGATCTTTTTATGGGCTTTTCTACCCACTCAGTGATGTCTCACATTTCCCATCAAAGAGGTCTCACAAGTGAAGGGCTTTTTTGAAATGCTTGAACTTGACTGGCAAACTCAAGGTCTTCCTGGCATGATCATAGAGAAAAAATCAGCTACACACTGAACAATAGATGAAAAATGCTTTTTTTCTTCCCCATAAAACGAGGTCAGAGTATATGAAACGCCTTCAACTTCATATAAACACATTGAGCCTTCCTCGTGGGCTTGATGTAACGATACAAAACATATACAGAACAACAAAGGTTCAAATATGTATGCTAAAGTATTGCAATAGAAATTTGAACCTCGGCAAGATATTTAGAGTTTTAAAAAGGAGCATAGATACATTGCTGCTAATAAAAGCAGATGTTTGAATGTAAACTACTACAGTATATTTTCCATTTGACCTCTTTAGCTTGTAGCCATTGTTTGCATGTCATCCAGCGTGTATTTAAAACGAGTCCACCTGCCATACCATGATGCATGTTATCATGCTAATTAAACTAACATCTCTGAATTGACTAATCATGTCTCATAAATGCAGGAATGTTATTTATGTCAGTCTGTTGGTCGCATGTTATGCCTGACGACAACATACATGCATGCAATCGACTCAATGTTCAGAACAAAATGAACTGGAGCAGCAAAGATGGCTGTGTGTTGGGCAGGGCCAAAAACATCTTTCTCTGTCACCTCAGTGTCTTTCAGAGCATGTTTGATTTAAACTGTTGATAGATGATTGCTGATGGGCTCCATCAGTTGTATTAAGAAAATTAGATTAAACGTTATGCCTGCCCAAGCAGTTACGTTCATTATGTCATTGTTAGTTTGTGTACTGACCTTTCCTGTTTTTCAAGTAAATGGAAGCCATTTCTTATTGTTAATACCCCATGAAAAGACCACAACAATCATTTATTTGTTTAAAACTTGTCTCCACCTGGCAATTAGTGTAATCTATAGTTTCAAAAGGTGTGCATGGAGAAATTTAAATCGATACTTCTGCACATGTCCATCCTAAGTGGTCCACATTGTACACGTTGCTGCATTATGGTCCCTTTTGGTTTTAGTTGGTCTTTTTAAGATGGAATAAGCTGTTGTGTAAAGGACAACAAAGGTTTGCATGCTTAATGGATTGCTGTTTGTGGTATTTTCGTGGTGGTGCTGCAATAAGAACCTGTAAAAAATATTATCCTTGTTTTCCAAGACAGTTTGTTCATGCAAACTGCCTTCAGACCTGAGTTTTGTTTTTCTTTTTATCTTATGGGTGATTAGGATTATTCTGCTGTAGTGGTGCATGTGGTTTGTTTTTATTTACTTTCAGTTGTACAGTTGAAAGTCATTTCAAGAATGTTTCTCTGTAATGACTGGTTGTGTTAAACAGTAAATGTCCTTCCAACTTCTGTTTGTGATTTATGAACATTAGACATATAGCAAAAAAAGTTACACATGTTTTAAATATAGTTTGTAGTGAATTTCTTTGTCGCTTTTCTACTGTCCTCCTCCTATTTCTCCTTTGTCTTTCTGCCCACTTGTTTCACCAATTCCTGCCTTTCCTCACTCATCATTGTCAGGCCAAAGTCAGAGAGCTGGAGGAAAAATGTCGGACGCAGAGTGAGCAGTTCAACCTCCTATCAAAAGAGCTGGAAAAGTTCCGGCTCCAGGCTGGGAAGTTTGATATCCTTAGCACTGAAGCTCTAACTGTGTTTGAGTCTCCTGGATCTCCAAACAAGTCCCTGTCACAGCTTCTTAATGGATTGGCTGCCCCCGTAGGGAAAGGTGTGTGCTGGTTCTATTGATGATTGGTGTTTCTATCATTTGTCATACTAAGCACTTGTAGTATATTCAGGCAGGGAATCTTTTTAGCAAGGAACAGTAGACCTAAAAAGGATACATTGCAAATTATTGATATAACTTTCACCAGATATACTTATCATCATAATACAAGTGCCAAAAAATAAACTTTTCATAATTTAGCTCATGAGCAGCTCACTTTCAAGTAACAGATTCTGGTAGTAAGTTGTACACCGTAGATATTTTGGAGGAGCAGCTATTCTGTCATGTCTGAAATAATGAAGTCTGAAATGCTTTTTGACTCAATCAGCAGTAAACACTGTTAATTAAACAATCAATCACAGTGAAAAATAGCCGCTAGCTTCTAAAATGTGCCTTGCTTGTTTTTTTTTTGCTTGTTTTTGTTAGAACGTCTAGTGATTTACTAATTGCAGTACTTTGTATTGTTCATTCTAGCTGGGTTAACCGAATAGTCACAAGTGATCATAAAATAAAACAAATGTGAGAAAACCACATTAATTGCTTGATATGAATTCTTAACAACATTTTGTGGCTTGATCAGCAGAATGTTTCTCAGTTAAGTCAAATACATCCACCACTCTGCAGCTGCTGGGCACTGGCGTTGGGTTCTGATGAGAGACGTTATCTTTGTTCTTCAGGTAATGAGGCTCCAACAAGCAGATCTTTGATATCCGAGTTTATTCGGCCCCTCCAGATCAGTGGAGACAAGCCCGAGCTCCTCTCAGTCAAGCCGACGTTCCTCAGTCGCAGTCGAGCCAGCAGCCCAGCACGGGCTTTCCTGTCTGAGGTACCTGTTTGAACCTATTCCAAATCCTGTATGTTTCATAAAGTGAAAATCAAAGGTTTGTGAACACCCTGCTTATTCCTGTCAGTTTCCCACCAACCACCAGCTACAAAACCAATCAGAGCGATGGTCAGTTGAAACGACTTTAAATTAGCTAACATCACCAGTGTCAAACTTTTTTTCTCAAATTCACTATATATCAGTGAGAATTTGTTTTAATTTAGGTGAATGAGAGAGTATCACAGGGCAGGATCTCTGGAGCCTCCAACTGTTAGTAATTCAGGTTTGGATTGACCAAAGTATTCCACTACCCAACACAAAGCTGAATGACAATATTACAAAAAATACATTTGTCACAGATGATAGATTCCAACCAAGAACGCCATAAATTACAGAGCGCATAGCCACAGGGTAGAAGATCCAAGTGTTGCTTATTATTTTAAATTATTACTCAACGTTTAGATTTATTAATGCAAAATGATCCATGAATTCTGTTTCTAGACAGTTTGAACAGCAAAATGTGCTTTTGATGCTGCAAACAGGATAACGTGCCTTTTTTCTTTCTCAAGATGGAGAAAGAGCTCAGCTCAACAACCAGGTCTAAACCACGGTTCACAGGGAAGGTCCGGCTGTGCGTTGCTCGGTATAGGTATGTGTACAGCACCCACTGATCCACCCTCCTCTCATAATGTATGGCAAAAAGATATGACTGTGTTAAAAGCTCTTACAGGTCACTGCTCCTCATTGTTGGTCTTGCTTTTTTAATGTTGCGAAAAGGCTGAACACTGAACACAACAATTTACTATTCAAGTAATGATTAGATACTATATTATTTATTTTGACCTTTCCATCACATGGATGGGGTTTACGTCACAGAAGGAAATAACTCAGCAGTATCAGAAATTATTGGAATTTACTGCAAATCGAAACCACGCTGTCCACAGCTTCCCCGTGCTAAAGAACAGGAAACAAACAAGGCACAAAATGTATTTAAAGCAGCTCAGAGGAAATAATTCAATTAGACATTCCAATTACATTTGAAGGGATTTCCATAATACTAAACCAGGCACTAATGCATGGAGATGTGTTCATCTGTGTTGAAGAAATTCTTTTTTATCACTGTAGCTACAATCCGTATGACGGGCCTAATGAGCATCCAGAGGCAGAGCTCCCCCTGGTGGCTGGGAAGTACCTCTACGTTTACGGGACGATGGATGAAGATGGCTTCTATGAAGGTTGGAACTGTTTTAAGATTGCTTGATCTTTTCTCCTTCATCACCTCTCCACATCACCAGCTATGTTCTCTGTGCCCCACAGGAGAACTACTGGATGGACAGCGGGGACTTGTTCCATCTAATTTTGTAGATTTTGTCAAAGATGAGCAGACTCCCTCTGCCCAACACAGGGACACGGTGGTGAAAGAACCTGGCTACCTCAACCACAGTAGCCTGGGATCTCAGCGGATTTTGGCCGGCACAGGAACAGGCACGAGCAGCCTGCTGTCTGACAATAAGGCAGACTGTCTAAGCACCAGCAGCTTGGGCATGGACCTCCTGGGCTCCTATAGCAATGGGACAGGAACATTGGATGTCAGCATTGACGAAGTCGGTGAAGACATTGTGCCTTATCCCCGCCGTATCAACCTGATTAAACAGCTGGCCAAGAGCGTGATCATTGGCTGGGATCCCCCCGTGGTCCCGCCAGGCTGGGGCTCTGTCAGTGGCTACAATGTATTGGTAGATAAAGAGGTTCGCATGAGTGTCCCCTACGGGGGCAGGACAAAGTCCCTTATTGAAAAGCTCAATCTGGCCACAAACACTTACCGCATATCCGTGCAGAGCATTACTGACCGGGGCCCTTCGGACGAGCTCCGGTGCACTCTTCTTGTGGGGAAGGATGTGGTGGTGGCACCTTACTACCTGCGAGTGGACAACATAACGCAGAGCTCTGCTGAGCTCTCCTGGATGCCCAGTAACAGCAATTACAGTCACACTATCTTCCTCAACGGTGCCGAGTACGACATGGTCAAGGCTGGGGGCTACATATACAAGTTTTTTAACTTGAAATCAATGACCGTTTATAAGGTGAGGGTTGTCGCGCAGCCGCATCAGGTGCCTTGGCAGCTTCCAATGGATCAAAGGGAGAAGAGGGAGATTTCCGTGGAGTTTTGCACTCAACCTGCAGGTGAGCCTAAACATGTTTTGTTGATGTTCAAACCCACTTTCTGCAAAGTACAATTTGAATGATTGTCCCGCTGCTCAAAGTTAATTGTAGTTGAGCTGAAATTACAGTATCTTTTCTTTGGGACCTTTAGTTTCTTATTTTAATGCATGAGTAGAAAATATCTGGCATACCGTTGCCAGAAAACGTTTTGTTTACTGGCTTTATGTCTACTGCTTTTTTTGTGCTGGGCAGTGGCTTCATCACTGCAGTTTTAGCTAACTCCTGCCTGTGACTGGAAACAAGGATGATAAGTGCATTTGCAATTGTAATTCTAACATTGTTTGTCGTAGGAGTATGTGGGATAAATTTTACATTTAGGACAAAAGAAATAACTCAAACAAAAGGAAACATTGCCTCTTGATGGAGAAGTCTTATACTCTAAAGCCTCTTTTTATATTATCATGTTTAAAGCCCATTACATGAATAAACTTGCCAAACATCTTAAATATTGAACTGCCCTGACACATTCAGATTTACCTTGAAAAGTTTTTATTTGTGAGTTTATGTGTTTTACTCTGATTGGAAACATATATGAAAAAAGAGCAAAGATATAAAGAAGAAAAACTACATGAGACTGGAAACAGTAGTTTCCCCCATACTTTGATGAGTGTAAATAGCAAGCTTAGATCTCAGAAACAGCAAAATCTTTAGAAACAGGACCATAAAAAGGACATCCTTCAGAGCAAACCACATTTAAATGAAATGTTATGGTGCAATGCTGTTTGCCTTTTGGATGGCAGAGGAATTATTAGGTCAAGTAATGACAGAAGTAAGAGATCAGAGGGCAGAGAGACAAAGAGACAATGAGGAAGTTTGAAGTGACATTTCTATTGGCAGCTGGTGTGGCCACACGCTGAGAGTTCATTAAAGGATCCATCTATTGGACATGTTAATTAGAGGCGCCTCAAATAGTTTTGGTATGGGTGGCAGACAATGGTTGTCAATAATGAGGACGCTGTGTGGTAGCGCTTTAACAGGCTTTAGTACTTAGCATTTGTTCTTAAGACAAGCCAGTTCATTAGTTTTCAGCGATACCACATTTTAGTCAATATTAGTCACACAGAGAAGCTGTGAATTCACTGCCTGCAAATCAGTGACAGCCATTTGATTTAAAGAATTAATGAGTGCAGCCACAGGGAAGAATCCATTAAATGCTCTCTTTGGTTTGGAGAGAAGTCTCTGTTTATGATAGCTTCCTGACAGGTTAGGAAATCCACTCCATACACCCATCACAGTATCGAAGAGTGGGGAGTGGAGAGTCTGTTGTCTGCTGTTGACAAGCAGGGTAGAAATGTGATTAAAAATGTGTTGATGTAGATTCTGAGATGCTCACACAGCTGCACATTGCTGCATGCAGACACTGCTGACTGAATCTGCTCCCTCTATGGCTCCAGGTGAGCAGCAACGCTGCACAGATGGGTTTGTTGTTTAGTATGCAGACAGCAGTGACAGATTGTGGAAACAGCAAACTGTGTTTCTCTGATGCTTCATAGAAAATTGTCAGCAAGAATCTGGCAACAGGACATTGCTGTGGAAACACTGATGGCTGAATGTTGGCAAACTTGTATTTTTCAATTAATGTAACACCTGCCCCCCTGATATGAATATGAATCCATGCCAGTGAATAAATACATGATGAATTGATATGCATATTGTATTCTTGTGCTGCTCAGGTATTTAAGATAAATTCCATTAAATGGGAGTAAGAATGTATTTTATTTGATGTTATGATATAACAGATAATTAATGACAGAGCTCCAAATCACCTGTCAGAATACTAATTTATTTAGAAGGAAAGCTTTAGCTACTCAGGAGCCTTCTTTCTGTTTTGCTTATCCAGTGTGTGTGTTTTTCTCCTCAGGGCCTCCTCTTCCTCCTCAGGAGGTGCAGGTCCAGTGCAGTCAAACTCCAGGGGTTCTGCAGGTCAGATGGAAACCACCACCCCTAACACCTTCAGGAACCTCCAATGGGGCCAGTGTCATTGGCTATGCTGTGTGCACAAAGGGACAAAAGGTACGAACATTATTTCAAGACTTACCATTCAGCACAGGTTGGTTTCACTTCCCTCAATGTTGACTTCTATGATCAGTACTATATTGCCATCTCCTGGAGAAGATGATTAAATACTGACATCCAATCTTGAGAGACAAAAAAAAAAATCCTCTAAAGATTTATGATACTCTGTGGGGCTCCCTCATGTGTACTGCTAATTATAATACAATATTACTTCACTAAAACTCTGAATTCTGTGTAAAATATTAGGATCTAACCAATGTTGTATTGTTAGAATAAGCAAAGAGAGGACATGCAGAAATCTGGGCAAGGAAAAATCATAAATTCAGCACTACGTCTCCAGAAATGACAGGTTAACAACACATACATTTCAGAGCACTCGGCAGGTACACACTCTTTGGAGAAGCTCTTCCTCAAAAACTATTTATAGAAAAATACAGTACATTATCATTACACTCAGTGATCTTACCTCTGATTTACCATTAATCCAAAAATGTGGCTCTTTTGTTACTGCAGATAGCAGAAGTCTTGTACCCAACAGCAGACTATGTGACGGTGGAGTTAAACAGGATTCAGGGTCTGGAGGCCAGGGAAGTCATTGTAAGGACATTATCGACTCAAGGAGATTCCCAGGACTCGCCTGTGGCCACCATCCCGCACAATCTCCTGGGATCTCCCCGTCTCTCCCACAGAGCTGTTGCGCCTCCTCATTCCATGCCCCAATCAGCGCCACAGCCCCATCCGGTTCACTCTCAAACTCACCCTCCCTACCCTTCCACGTATCCCCCAAATCACCCTCAACCCCAGGTGCAGGCTCTGCCCCGCGCCCAGCCGCACACCCTACCCCACGCACAGCCGCACTCGCAGCCCGCCCGCATGCCCCCCCACCCGCAGCCGCACTTTCAGCGTCACTCCATACCCAAGTCGAAACCGTCATTAAGTGCCAGAGAGACAGAAACCAAAGAGCACGAGGTGGGCCTACGCTCAGCCCAGCCCTGGGAGCGCTCCCCCTCGCCGCTGCCTCCCATGCACGGACAGAACCTCGAGCCGCCACACTACCCGCCACGGCGATCGCCCTCTCCTCAGAGGATCCTGCCACAGCCTCAGGGAGTCCCCATCTCCAACACTATCGCCAAGGCCATGGCCAGAGAAGCTGCCCAGAGAGCCTTTGCTGAGGGCAATCGGGTGCGTAAGGACCAAAGGGATATATTTTAGGACTCCTCATTTTCTATCAGCTGGAAATATGAGATGGAATGTTGATGATGTGTCACCCTGTATCTTTTTTTAAGTTATCACAAGATGCTTTGTATCAAGACAAAACTGCTTATAATATATTTTGATATATTTTCAGGAAACCTTTTTAGTATGCCGGTTTTAGTGTTACTCTCGATTATTATGCAAAAGTCTTTCTAGGCTCCAGACTAAGTCTCAAACCATTCTCTTGGCAGGTTGAAAAAAGAAATATCTTTAGTGAGCGAGGTAATTCCTTGCATGTACTCAACTCCGATGAGGAAGAGGATGGTTACGACTCTCCTCATGCCAGAAGGAGAGGAGCCTCGGTGGATGAATTCCTCAGAGGCTCAGAGTTGGGCAGACAGGTACTTTACAGAAATCCCTAACATTGCTCAGCCTAGTCGTGCATGTGTGTGTGTACCAGATGGGATGGCATATCTTTTAATCGTGTAATCAACTACTTGAAGGATACATAAGAAGAGTATAAACCCCTAAAAAAACTTGACATAACCAGTTTAAAAGTTACTGTACCCTTTTAACTGCAGCCATTGCCAGGAAAGGATGGGTTAAGCCAGATTCCATTTGGTCATATTTGTACGAAATATGTAAAAATCTTTATTTAAACAATAAATAACCTCTGGATTGGAGCGAACAATTACCTACTTGTTTTCTTCAGTACCATCATCACCACTACGGCCACAGTGAGGAGTACCACACAGAGAGCAGCAGGGGCTCTGACCTTTCCGACATAATGGAGGAGGATGAGGAGGATCTTTACTCTGAAATGCAGTTGGAGGAAGGCCGCAGGCGGAGTATCAACTCCCACAACACTCTGAAGGTACAAACTTAACTGAATATCGTTTGTCTGTTTCAATCAGGAGAGACAGGGGCTCAGAAAAGGCTGAACCTGCCACCTGTAAAGGTTCCCACTGTCTCTCACACGGTCCACATCCAGGCCAATCTATGGCTTTTCCCAACTGAAATTGCTTCATGTTACCCCAAGCTGCTACTTCAATCCCCCCTCCTGTGCTGCTTTATTCATCCCAGGCTGAGCTCACAGCTGTGCAAACACTGTATGAAATGCATGTGTGAGTAGAAAGCAGTTAGATACAGTAGTTAGTCATTTAACTACTGGCTTGCTTTGCATACGGATACTGCTCATACTGTACTAGAGTTATAGCAACACCAAACGAAGTATCGCAGCCAAAATGTTAGAAGATGACATTGACATGCAAATGTGAATATACTGTACTGGTTTCAATGGTCATGGCATATCAAGTGCATATTGGAATCTCATTTAAGTGAGTACTTAAATGGAATTGTTTGCTTTTGTCCAAGTCTGTCATGTCCTAATGTTTAATTTTAATGTTAACATTGTTGGCATGTGATTCCGTCTTCATGTCACTGGGAATATGTGGATGCAAAGACAATCTGCCATCATTATTAAAACGATAAATTAGATGTGAGTGGGGGCTACTGTACTGACAAATCGTACCAATTGGGCTATATTATAGTAGACTTGCTATAGAATGACAGCAAAAATCACTGGAAGTTTGGTTGTGTAATTTATTGTCGAGTTAAATATGTATGATAAACAGTTTTTCATGAGGGGTTTCCCTGGGTGTATTAACTGTCCATACACACTGCATCCTTTGGGCATATCCATGTCTTTGTAGATCACGTTTGCTCATTTCTTATTCATAAAACGTGTCTGAGACTTTCATTGAATATTTTGAAATTGGTGTCTGCTGTTCTCATAGTTTCAGAAGGTCAGTTCACTACTTCTCACACTATTCATTTCTGTCTTTTTTTGCATCTCGATTTACCTGTCATGCTTTTTTAAATGAATTTTCTGTTTGGCACAAATGTCTGTGAGTTATCATTCCTTCTTTGAGACTCGACAGATTCCTGTTCAGAGCATGCCATTTCCTCTTCACGGAATGAGACTGCATGTCTTACTACATTGCCACAAATAACTAATTCTGTCTTTATTTTGTCTTTTTTCCCCATTTATTCTATTCACATTCTGTTTTGTTTCCTGCCTGTTCTAAAACCTTCGAAAAAACCTTTCAAACCCCTCACAAAAAAAATCTCAATCTCAATGAACTGTGAAATTACGGAACATTGCCCCCCTGGTTATGACATAGGCTTATTACAAGCGTCAAGACTTAGCTGAGGAAAGAGACTGTTGGGATCTCCAGAGGGAGGTGGTGAAACACAGGTCCCTCCGCAGCAAGCGTCTCCACAGCATCCCGGAGGTGGCCGAGGAAGAGGCGGACGGAGTGGACGGTATGGGCCAGCGCCTGGGCTTTGAAGAGGGCAGGCGACCGGGAACGCCGCGCACCCAGCGGAGGATGTATCCCCAGGACCCTCACAACCAAAACAATCACTCCGGCAGCAAAACCTCGCGCCTGCAGCGCCAACGCTCGTCCCCCCGCTTCACCGACAGCCGCTTTGGCTACGGTGCGGACGAGCGCATCTACGGGCGGCCCAATCGACAAAACACCAAGAGTCCCGACAGTGGGTTAGACTGCGGCAGTGAGGAAGAGGGCTCCCTAGGACGGAGTTATCGTGGATACTATACCCATGGGAGCCCCATGCGGGGGCCTGTGCGGATAATCCACTGTGAGGGCCCAGTAGAGAGGCGGGCACTGGCCATGGGCCGTAAAAGAACTCTGACCCGGCAGTGCAGTGTGGAGGAGGAATTCATTGACGTCCCGGTGACCGCAGCCCAGTCGGTACACACGGGCGACTTTAGGAACAGGCAGCACTTTGGGCCTGGTCGGGAAGTCGGGGCACGAAACTACTCCAGGGAAGGGGCCCTGAGCGAAGGCAGGCTGAACGAGCTGGACAGGGTCTATTACAGCCCCCACAGGGAGGCTAGGGCCCAGTCTTTGTCCAGGCTCAACCGGGACCAGCCGCTGGTGTGTGATTCAGACTTTCTGATGTATTTTCCATCAGCAAGCAGCAGCCATTCTATTTTATTGATGTCTATTTTGTTTACGACAACCCTTTTGTTTTAAATTTATTTGGCTTTTTTCTTCATTCTTGACAAATTTCATGTTCATGGTTGTGCTTATTTGATTTTCTGTTTCGTGTCAATTAGTTTGCTTGTATTCAGAATGCTAGGTGGATTTTGATGTAAAGTTTTGAATATCTAAAGGCCATTTAACAGAGTTTTGACTTCTCATGTCTTTAAGGGGAAAGGCCCCATTTAAAGGAAAGTCTGTGCAGTGCATGGAGACGTCCAGCCCCTTTTCTTATCTGCTGTGCCTTCTTCCTGTCAGCTTCATATGTTGCTGTCCATGTCTCCACAACGTTAGCTGCTGCAGCCATCTTGCTCCACCTTGTACCCCCAGCTGCATGTCAGCATCTCCTGCTCATCACTGCCGTACATGCAAAGAAGGACCAAATAAACACTTCTGCTGTCACCAGTCATGCTTTTCCCACTTGACAAAAACAAACATTTAAAAAAATAATTACCATATATTGAGTTTGGCTTTTCTCATGAAACATCTTTATTCATTATCCATCACTTAGGGTCTACTCTAACTCCTCCTGAAAATCACCTCTGTTGTCACTCTGTCCTTTATTCATCTTTTCTGTCTTTTGCTGGCACTTGCTTCCTTTTTTCTCATTGAGGAGCTGACATGCACAGAACAAAACAAATCAAACAAATGGTCTTTAGCTACACGTTACCCCCTACCTCCCTCCCCCTACGAACCCAAATCCATGTTGTTGTGCCTGGGTTTTGTTTTTAATTTACATGTTTTGATGGATTGTGGGGTTTCTTTGAAATTATCTTTTCAGTTATTATCATTTGCCTTCCAAAGGACAAATGGAAGCAACTTCATTTGCTCTTATGGTATTTCAGTTGTCTAACAGGATTGTGGGACTCTTTTTGAATGTTTGTATATGTTTATATGTCTTTACATTGCAGACAGTTTGACTTTCTAATGTTGTATTTGTTGTATTCTTTTACTTTAAAGATCATTGGAAACTCACCGTCACATGGAAGCCCTGATCGCCTGGACCATTCAGGGAGGAGGCAGGTTCACATTGGCACCCCTCCTCAGCGAAGACCCATCCCATCCATTGGTTAGTGAGGTCTCAACATGAGGATCTCAACCTGCAGGCCCACTGATGTTTGTGCTATTTATCCCATGTTCCTCTTACCCATATATCAGCCGAGCTGTACGTCTCTCCCATAGAGCTTTATCCGACCACACAGGTCCTTTTGTTGGGTGTTCGTGCACCCTGTAGCTGTCCATGTCCATGTTCATGAGCTGGAATCGCAAAATGTTCATATGCAGTTTTGCAGGAAGGTTTCCCAGACACACTCCCCCTATAGCAGGGTTTACTGTGGTTTAACATGTTTAAACAACCACCCAATCTGACCTTGCAACAGTGCAAGCATTGCTGTTTTACACCCAGAGACTCCAGAGTGAAACCCATTGCCTCGTGAACTTCACACCTCAGGGCAACTTCATCATCCTACTGTCTCAGCATGAGTGAATGGGCCATGGGGGAAGAGCCGAGAGTGTGTGTGTGCGGGGGATCTATGACCGTAACGTTGTGATTGGTGTCTTCTGTAGAGATCACCATGGACAGTAACAGTGAGGGGAGTGAGGGGAACCTCTCACCTGTCAAGGAGGATGTTTACTATGGCAGTGTAGCTCGGCGCAGGATATGGCCGTCTTTTTCCTCAGAGGATCAATATGGTATGTGGTGCAGCTTCTCTCCAAGATGACAATTCACCTTGACAATGCCAGAAAAAAGCTGAGTCCTTCTTGGAATCATGCAGTGATGTCATGGTAGTCTTTGTTCTGTGCTGGACAGCTAGCCGCTTTTAGTTTAGCTTAGCTGAAAAAAAAAAAAAAAAAAAACGCTGACAGGGGAAGACAAGACTGACTTCCTTTCCAGTTGCTGGAGAATGAATAACCCTTCCCTGTATGTATGCCTTCAATCCCAGTCAATCCCAAACCTCCCACTCTTCCCAATCACCCTCCATAATCAGGCCACCCTCCACCCAACGACAGGTCAGCTCAACCTCCCCTCCCCTCCCTTCCCTTTGCCATAACCGTCCTCTTTTCCTTCTCCTCTCACCTTTATGAGACAGTAGATCATTTCCTTTGTTGATTTTGCACAACCCATTTATGAAAAACGTGAGAAGGAAAGAAACATTACTTTGAGAATTGGGCCGCTCTTGTCTGAATGGTATCGGTCGCACGATCATCTACTCTACTCCCTGAAAAATTTAGATGACTTGACATCTTCCAAACAGCACGTCTCAGCTACTAACGTGTCAGATGGAGCAGCGTCTGAGCTTTGTTTCGGACTTCTAATCTGCCATTTAAACATTTAACATGGTGATCCATGAAAAAGCATGGGGACCCGATATCAGGTTCATTCCTCCCCCCTCACTGTCCCTGATATCTGCGTTACCAGGAACCACTGGAACATTTGATACGTTATCACCCATCGGAACGTGCCTTGTTTGCCCTTTTCTGCTGCACATTGCTTCCAGATGTGGCCTTAACGCATGACATTACACCTGCATCGGATGTAGGAATGCTCTCCGTGTCCTGTGTAAATCCGGGAGAATGCATGTGAATCAGCCTCTGTGAGATAAGGCAGTGAAACAGCAATGAAAAACGGTGCGGTGTTACTTGTGTCCTCTCGATGTGAACTGTCATTCGGTGTCCCTTGCACCTCAAAAACTGCCTGACAAGTGTTTCCTTCGTATGTTGTGCTGTGCTTTGTGGTATTTTGTAACTGACTTGCCATCAGGCAGAGATGTGTGAACAAAGAAATATTTATATAAAAGTCCTAGTAGTTCTGTTGTGTTTCTATTTCAAATGATAAGGACTAAAAACAAAAAAAACTAAATGTTGGTCTTTTTTCACACATGTTTTCTCACCGACCTCTCCCCTGTCAGCTGTAACAAAGAGACACCTTCTGCTCTCATGTCCTTTGCAGCCAGCATGGCTGTTTAAGGCTGGTAGTAGCAGCAGAGGCCTCCTCTGTCTTTCAGACGGCTACGGCGGGCGCAGACACGGGCGGGGACGGCGCTCTCCGGATTATTTTGAGGAGTCGGAGCCAGAGGACCTGACCCGCGTGTTTGTGGCTCTGTTCGACTACGACCCCCTGTCCATGTCTCCGAACCCGGATGCTGCTGATGAGGAGCTGCCGTTCAAGGAAGGACAGATTATCAAGGTGGCGTCTTCACTACTGACCGTCATCACCCTCCAGATGAATGTTTCATATCACTGAGAAGAGGAAATCTCGGAAACCTTCTTCATTCATCTCTTCGCTTGTCAAACATTATCTGCTTGATTGTCATAATCTTGTGTAACCTGAAGCAGCCACACAATCTAGATTTCTGGATGTTTTCAGCTGAATGTCATCCCTGATGTCGTCCCGTTCTTTCAGGTGTTTGGGAATAAGGACACTGATGGATTCTACAGGGCACAGATCCGAGACAGAGCGGGCCTGATCCCTTGTAACATGGTGTCTGAGATCCAGACGGAAGATGATGAAATGATGGGCCAGCTCCTCAAACAGGGCTTCCTTCCCCTGAACACTCCTGTGGAGAAATTAGGTGAGAAGGGATTTTACGTTATTTTCTTTTCCCGTTTTTCTAATTTGCTTTTGTCTGGCTAAATTAGTTGCGTTCCAGGCTGCCATTTTACTGACTTGCTTCTCCTTTCCTGCAAACTTCCCACTTTAATTCTGGTTTTCTGCTTTCCCGTGAAGTCAACTGCGACCGTTTCAAAGATGGCCGCTCAATTAATCGCAGGTCCAGAAAGTCAAAGAGAGGTCTGTTTGCGCTGAGAAGCTCCCCTTATCTCTGCTCTATCTTTGCTTTTTCACACTTTTAATTACTTTTGCTCTACATTTTCTGTTAATAAATTGTTTTCTAACTGATAGCATGGATATATATGGATATATTGTGTCTAATCTAATATTGTGTCGTCCCTTTCAACACATATGAATGAGATGTTTAAATCAAACTTTTTCTTTGTCTTTGTCACTTCCATTCTTTACAGAAAGAAACAGGCGCAGTGGCCGTCAGCATCCCATGTCAACACGGAGAATGGTGGCACTGTATGACTATGACCCTCGAGAGAGCTCCCCAAATGTTGATGTTGAGGTAACGATCTTCATAAACTCACCGTAAAAATCCACATGTTAACAACAACAGATAACCAGTTTGAGCTGCCCAAGAAATCAGATGTGAATGTTCTCTGTGTATTTTTTTAATGAGCAGAACCTAAAGAAACATAAGAAAAACCCATACTGACAGAATTTTATGGCTCAATAATAATAGGTCATCCTAAAAAGTGCTCTGAGAACTCTTTTTATGCCAAAACCTAAACAGTTTTAGGACATTTGGGTCTCCACTAAACAGTGAACTGATTATCTTAACTGAGTTAAAGTTGGAGTTTAGGTTGTTCCTGGTTCTGGCTTCATATTATTGACATATATGATTTGGAACAGTCGAACCAAAGGTCTTCTGGCTCCAGTTTCGTTTTGGACACACAAATCAGTTGAAGTGTTTCTGTGTAGTACTCATACAGGGAAGGTTTGAACATTCCGTCAAATTCAACACGGGCCATCTCGTGTACAGCTCAGATTGAATAAGGGATTACTTTAGCAATGTGTGGACGGAGGATTGAAAGTACTTTCCCGTGCTGTTTTCTTTGGCCATTCCCCATTGGTTTCACTTGCTCTCACCTTTCTATTGGCACTCCCACCGCCACAGTATGAAGGCAACAGGCTGAATGAGGAGGTGAGTGAGGGTGAGGAGGGTATACTGCCGTCTTTTCTATGTGTGTTTCCTCCCTCGTTTGTTGGAGTGCAAAGAAGGAGGTGGGCTTCAGATGACAGGTCACGGCCCTCTGTTTTTGGTGCCCCCCCTTGCATTGCTTGAGCCAGCATCCCCTCCTCGATTTGGTCTTTTGTGTCGACCTTTCTCCCACATATCGTACATACAGTTTGGTTTGTGTGGTCTCGAGAATCCCATAGGAGAGATGTACCCGATGTGTTGTGGTCCTGTCTTCAGAGTTCTAACGTTCGATGCACTTACAGTTGAGACGGTCCATCTGAGACTGAATTAACATGTTTAAGATGCATCACATTGATTTGGAGAAGGAAACACAGCCTTTCAAACTCGTTAAATTCCTCCAGATTAGCTATCTCTCAGTTTTTTTGTACCATAAAGTCATTTATATCCTGCTTGTTTTCCTCCTTTTCCACAATTTTTGACAGGCTGAACTGACTTTCTGTGCTGGTGATGTCATCACAGTTTTTGGTGAAATAGATGAAGATGGATTTTACTATGTAAGTGTGCATCCATCTATCTATCTATCTATCTATCTATCTATCTATCTATCTATCTATC